TAAAATAGACAGTGGGGCTGCCTCTTCTCCGGCGAGATCCCTTCTTCTCCGGCGAGCTCGGGATGAACTAGAAAAGGTGACTGACGAAATGAAAAATTGCAGGTCCTTGAAAAATAAAATTAGCAAAACCGAACAAAACACGTCTGAGAAGCACATTTTTAAAAAGAAAATAGTCTAAGAACCAGATTTTTTTTATTAAACAGCGACAAAAGTTCCCCTCGCTGGAATTTGTCTAACTGCCGGCCGGTCGGGCGATGCCTGGTGTCCGGCGACCTCGGGAAGCTCGTCACCTCTGACAATGGAAATGGGACGATAAGCCGTCCGATGAGCCGGCAAGGCCACGGGTCACCTTCTTGTTCCCGCGCTCGTAGCAAATCAACCTCTGCCGCTGCCGGAAAACAAATCATAAAAAAAGAGCAGGTTTTTATCTGCTTCCCCTTCTTCTTCTCCATTCTTCCCAGTCCAATCCAATTCAATCGGAGGATTTGCTTCGCCTCGCCGGTCTATAAATACCCCTAACCGGCCGCGGCCGGCTCAAAGAAGGAGTTCCTGGCTCCGATGGCCCCTCCGTCGGCGGCGCCCATCGAGGTGCTGGAGGGCACGGGCGAGAGCTCCTCGCCGCCCAGGTCCTCCGCCGCCCACGACGAGCTGCGGCGTAAGATATACGAGCGCCTGGTGCAGGCCGGCAAGCAGGGGGACTGTGATGATGCCTCGTTCCGGGACATGCTCGACGCCCATTTCGACAAGCTGCCACCCAGGTACCTGACGGACCTGAGTGAAAGCAAGGCGGAGGATGTGCTGCTCCACCGGGAGGTCCTCGACGAGTGCGCCCACAACGGCAACCAGCCCGTCTTCCGAGCTCGATTCCTAAAGGTACCCACCCCCACCCCGCTTTTCGCTTTGCTATTCATCCCCAAAACTAGCAAATTCCTCTCGAATCATAGACTACGTATTATCGAAAACCCTGGATGGATAGCTTGTGCCTTGTGCAGTATACAACAACCAAGTCCTTAAACCTAGTGTTGCGCGAAAATATTTCTTGCAAACAGCTAGTGTGGTGTATTATTTACTCTTAGAATTGAGATTTGGCTGGATTGGACACAAAAAAGATTGTAAAAAGGACAATTTATTACTCCCTTCGGTCCATATTAATTGACACTGATTTAGTAACTCCCTCCGATCCATATTAATTGTCGCTGATTTAGTACAATACTAAATCAGTGACAATTAGTATGGATTGGAGGGTGTAGTATTTTACAATTCTGTTGATCCACCTTGATGGGCAGTACATGGCAGTTCAACTTCAACCGGAATGGGAGGATGCCAGTCCCGACTCTGATACATATCAAAGGTTATTGGAAGACCTCACTTTGGAGAGGGTACATGGCACCGACACCACGGGCTCTATGTCTTCGCCATCAAGGTCATTCACTTCAAATCGTACCATGACTTATCTTTTATATTGCTGCTAGCTTCCTTTTGTATTTCACTTCACACAAGTTGTTTTCACTTCTAAGTGCTATTTTTACCTTCGCCAAATTCGAGACCAGTGGCTGCGATTTGTCCATCCTCCAATAAGTCATCCTCTCCAAGTGCTTCCAGCTTACAGTGTGTACTTGTTTGGTTTATGACTTTTAGTTAAAATGGCCTCTCAATTCTCCCCAGGGATTCAGAACCTGCCCTTCTTCATGAGATCATCTTCTCTTCCCTCGACAAGCCCAAGCTCCTTAGCCGGGTAAAGAAACATGACCAGGGGGGCAACTTTTTCTATAATTGTCTTGATACCCAATTTCATATAGCTTGCTTTTCACATTTTACATGCCAAGTTTCTTATGAGAAATCATTGTTCAACAGCTAACTGCATTGCTATCTGAAGTTGGACTGAATATTCAAGAAGCTCATGTTTACTCCACAACTGATGGCTTTTGTTTGGATGTTTTTGTTGTTGATGGGTGGAAGACACAGGTAAACTTTTAGCATATGTATACAAAGGTTGGACTGTTTATGACTTTCTGCAGATATTATATTTATGTTGTGCATAGCGTTTGACTATAATATCTCCAGAATTAATGAAAGAATCTTGCCAGTTCGCAGTGCTGCTGACTACAACTACTACCTGCTTACGTTTCTAAGACACTATGAACTACCCTTTCCGTTCCAAAATAAGTGTCGTGGTTTTAGTTCAAAATAAGTGTTGCGGTTTTAGATTAAATTGAACTAAAACCACGACACCTATTTTGGAACAGAGGGAGTATTAATCTCTATAATTACATTCTCTTGCATATGTCATCTTGATATTGTACATGCAGGAGACAGAGGCGTTGATTGCGACAATTGAGGATACATTAATGAGAAAAAATGTATGATGCCCTTTTCCATGTAACTTCAGTAAATGCAGTATTATGTGATATCTGCACTTTCAGTTAAGATGCCATCTCTAACATCTCCTTCCAGATCGAGTTAAATTGTCCCCATGTAAATATGTAGGGAGCACCACCTAACTCAGCAAATGCTTCATCCTCGGAGAAAATACTTGAGCTACGGGAACAGCTTGTGGATTGTGAAATCGACTGGAACATACTAGCAGTGGGGGAAAAGATCACATCTGGGTCTTCTGCAGACTTGTAAGAACTGCTCGACACTTGACAGTATATGTCCACCTTAGGGTTCATTTACTTGAAGTGCCCATTATGCCAATTTCACTTCTAGCCTGACCAGTGTACTCCTCTAGCCTCTGTAGACCTATCTAGGCATGCTGGCTTCTTCTGACAGGAAACGTTGGCATTTCACTCACATCTATATGAATGGCAGACGCCTTCCTTTTCCTCTGAAAACAATACAAGAATATCGTGAACCTACATTTGCTTTTGGTAAGCAAGGCCACACTAGGGTCTAACAGATCTCGTTCCTTTCTATTTCACAGATATAGAGGAATACATAGTGGTTTGGATGTTTGTATAAAGATACTCAGGAGCGCACATCAGAACAGCCCTTCAGAAGTTGAGTTCTTGCAGCAGGCGCTCATGCTAAGGCAAGCTTTCTGCGACCATTGCTGAATGATCAGTTATGTTTTATTCTGACTGATTCATGATATTTTGCATCCAGGAGAGTGAAGCACGAAAACATCCTTACATTTTATGGGGCATGCACAAAGCATCGAAAGTATTGTGCCATTGTAACAGGTACCATCAGTACTTGGCATAAATGATAAAAACCCAAAGAATATTATGGATTGTAACTAACTCTGCCATGATTGCTACTCTTTAGTCAGTTGCTGAACATTACTTTCGAATGCTCATACTACCATTGCATGATGCAGTACAAAACCATTGTCATGCTCGGATGCACCTGAGATATCAGCTACTGCATTGCTGTGATTGTTTTATGAATCTATGTTTGTTATTTGGATTGTGACTTATGGTTGAATCTGAAGTCAGGTAATTTACATCTTGGTCATGTTTGCGAAGCAACTTCTGATTGAAAAATTGTGAAATTTCCTCGCTCGAGTTTTTAAGCCGCACAGAACTATAATCATGTGTAGACTTCTTTTTATGCCCATTGTATGCTTAACAGTTTTTAACTTGCTGTCGCTCCTGTTAAGTCTGCTCATAGCTCACAACTTGCTAGCTTGATGGGCAGGAAAAATAAACGCTTTGCTATTGTGTTTGACTGTAATTGGATGTGTCTCTCGAATCCATTTCTGATAGTTTCTCTTTCCTGTATTCTTTCTTTATACAATTATGTGATACGCGATTATAGGGCTCTCTTTTCATTCAAGCAACCAGATTCCCGTTAGATACCATCACCAAGGATTTAAATTTCGGTCAAATTTTGTTCAAAATTCGCAAAATCAACAATTCTCGTTCAGGGGCGATAAAAATTCAGTTTTGGCCAAAAATATCGATTTATTTTGATTTTTTTCGCTTGATTAAGACGGCTTCGAGCAGTTATGCATCATGTTATGACTCTGGGTTCAATGGTTAACTTAAACAACTCTATGCTTCTGCGATCCTGAGTTCGAACCCCCATAAAGCATAAATTGCCCTGAATTTTTCTTTTCTTTTTAATAACTCGGTAGAAAAGGTAGACCAAAATTGTGTAGGTCTTAGAGCACAAACTGGAGATAAGATGGCTGAGTTATATGGACGCAAACCACCACAATGGAGTAAACTTTTTGGTGCCGTTATAATGTTTACTTATAAATATATTATCAGGTGCTGAATTTGAATTTAGCCAAAAAATGATTTTGCTTCCAGAATTTTCGTTAATTTCATGGAATTTGCGACTATCAGTCAGGAGTGAAAAAACTACAGAAATGAACTGAAATCTCTGACCATCACTACCTAGCTAGGCTTGCCCATCCTGCCTAACAGACCCTTCAGGGCTAAATCACGGTGACTGGAAGCCTAAGCCAGTCCCCTAGCCTGCTTTTTAGAATACTGTGCATGATTCTGTCTTAGAATCTTGTTTATTTATTGTGATTTTTAAATGAGTGTGTTGCGGAATTTTAACATAGCCCACTCTTTCTAGTAAACTCACCTTTTTTTTTCTCTAGAACACACAATGTGATGTCTTTTCACCTAGTATGCTCACCTTTTCCTCAAAAAAAAAGTATGCTCACCTTTTTCTCTTGTGTTAATTTTGTTCCTTTCAGAATACATGCCTGGAGGCGATTTATATGAATTTGTACACAAGCAAAATGATGTTTTGGACCTCCTTCTGATTCTAAGGCTTGCTATGAGCATCTCAAAAGGAATGGAATGTCTGCACCAGCACAACATAATCCATAGAGATCTGAAGACTGCAAACATTCTCATGGGCAACAATCATGTAGGCATACTTATTCAAACTGTCGAAGCTATTGGTCCTGAGAATCCGAGGGTCCATTTTATTCTGCTTTTCTATCATGGTATAAAACCTGGAAAATATATAAAAGCATTGAAGTGGTTGATTTTTTAGTCCGATGGGGCTGCTTTGTTACAAGCACATTCTTTAAACACGTAAGGGTTTATAGTTCACATCTGGCAAACTAGCAATGCCAGATAACGTTTTAAAGCTCAAATAAATTATAATAAGTTGCAAAAAAATGGAAATATAATTCCATTCAGGAAACTTTCGTTACTTAAGAACTTGATATCAATTTATATTTGTATGTTTTAAGACAAATTACTTGCTCTTAAAAATATTTTGTTTTTTAAATTGTGATTTTAATTATCTTGTGTCACAAACTTAACTTTTGTGTCCCTAAGCATATAAGTATTGGATCTACTTCTGGAAAATGGTGAGAAAATGATGATAAATATTTCCTCAACTGATGTAAGCTCACCTGCCTAGTCATTACGTATTAAATTGTGGATCTACTTCTGGAAATAGGTTGTGAAGATTGCAGACTTTGGTGTGGCTCGAGTTGGTACTCAGGAGGGACAAATGACGGCTGAAACTGGAACTTACAGATGGATGGCACCTGAGGTAGGGTTATTAATTTTCCTGTTGCTGTTTGAAAGTGTTTTTCTTTAACTTTAAGAAACTTTGAATGTTTAGTTTTGTTCGGTCTACCTGGTCCGTCCTTGTTATCTTCTGTACCAAAACTCCCAACCAATCTTTTGCTTGCTCTTTATCTCTTATGTTTCTCATGGCAAGTTCAAGGGACAAAGATCATCACCAGAATGTAACATGCCTCACTTTCCCTTGCTTTCTAATTTCTCATGGCAATGGGAAACATCATGTTCTGAATCATTGTGTAAACAATTAGTAATTTTTGCCCATAAACATGATTCACAAAGGCACGGTTCAGTGCTGGGGAAACCTATCAGATCCCAGTAGCAAGTATGGTTGGGTTACAAATTAATGAGGGGTTATTTCTTCTGCAACTTGTCCATAAAGGAGTGATGAATCGGCCACTGCTAAATGTAAGAGGTACATGGTCCATAAAGATGTCAAACTTCATAAGTTCCTGGCAGGGTCCAGGAAAATGGTTTTATGGGACCACCTTGAGAGGCTTTGGTCAAACAGTGCCATTTAGACATCTTAAATTCCTTCTCTTTAACTGAGATACATGTTTTGTACCTAATTCGTGGCAACAACTGACAAACATGACATCTCATTTTGTCAAGGAAAAAAGTTTCAACTTTGGAACTGTCTGCATGAGCTGAGATAAAAAATTCACAGGTTACTCCTGAGATTTTATTTTTTCGTGAGAAGCTCATAAGTGTTGTTTATCTTAATAGATTATTAACCATAAGCCTTATGATCACAAAGCGGATGTATTCAGCTTTGCTATTGTTCTATGGGAATTGATTACACTAAAGGTATGCGCTGGTGTCAAATACATCTTGAGCTTTCATCCGAGTTGTTTAAACTTCTGTACTATGTTGGCTATAGGTAACAATGAGCTCTTAATCATGCTGTAGGTCCCTTATGATAACATGACACCCTTGCAAGCTGCATTGGGAGTGAGGCAGGTACATCAGTGATGTTGGCTATCCCTCGATTAACTCAATGCTCATCTTAGTTCAGATCCCATTATTACAGACTCTTATCGTTTCTTCTTACGCTGTGCTGGCCTTGCGATAGGGATTGCGTTTGGAGATTCCGGCAGGTGTGCACCCAGGATTGTCGAAACTGATCGAGCAGTGCTGGGATGAAGATCCTGATACAAGACCTGTTTTTGCGGAGATCATTGTACAACTTGAGGACATCTTACAGGAAATTCAGGTAGAGGTAGAAACTCAAGTAGCTTTCAAACCAAGTTCTCTGCAAACAACCAGTCTTCACTTGAGTATTTTCTTTCTACAGGTGCCCAAGGGGGGCCATCGACGTTCTAGAGCAAAAATGCAAAAGAAATCACCACGATAGAAGAAAGAAAAGAAAAACGATGTGTGCATCAAAAGTGATGCAAAGGCCGGGGTCAACCACCTCTTCAGAAAAAAAGGGAAAAAACAAAAATATTTTTTTTTCAACTCAAGGAGCATCGCTCTGAATTTAAATTGCTGAAAAAACGATAAAAGACCCACAACCATGCCAAAGGGTTTCACCTCCCCTTTACGGCATGTTCGGTTTAGCAGGGATTTGCAAGGATCAAAGGGCATTGACAGGGAACTGGGATAGATCCGTGCTGATAACTTGCCAAACCGAACAGGCCCTTGGGAGGTTTCCATCCTTGCACTACAGTGGTATCAGAAAGCTGAAGCTAGAAAGATTACCTGGTAGCTTGTGCAGTCTCCCCAATTCCAACAAGCCGCCGACATGCCGTTGCGTGTGATAGGGTTAGAATGTCCTCTCGTTTCTCTTTGTATGTTGTTTGTAGCAGCGTTTGTAACAGTTTCTTGCAGCTCCTTTTTCCATTTGAAGAGATGTATATGTATAGACCGTATATGCTGAGGTGAAGAAAGCATCAATTGCAACATTTTTGGGATGGAAGTATTTGTGTGATCTCTCGTGCGGATACAAGAGAACGGTACGAACAACGGCCTTCTCTCCACTCATTTGACAAAATCAGGCAAGAGTGTATAATAGGTCCAATCGCTGGGACTTTGTCATCAGGTTCCTGAGCTCAAGTATCTAAATCCACTTTTGTGGAGAAATACAACAAGCCGACCTTAGCTCAGTTGGTAGAGCGGAGGACTGTAGTCGTTGCAGATAAATCCTTAGGTCACTGGTTCGAATCCGGTAGGTCGGATACGTTTTTTTTATTTTCGAGAGCATCCTTTCTTTAAAGGAATTGTTTGGGGGTGTGTAAAATGACTAACAAAATTGCTCCCTCAATGATCCTTCCTCGAGCAGCCAACGGGGACGCGGTGGCGGTCACAACCAGCCCGCGACGTCAATCACAGATAGTGTGCGTGCCACGCGGGCGACAGATACTACGAGGCGTTTGACATGGGTGACACAGTGACTTCTAGGCTTGCACAATGGCCGCAAGACATGGGGCGTGCGAGAGCGGTTTGATGATGCAGAACATCGCACATGGCGGTGTTGGGCAAGTTATCGGGCACCCACGAGGCCTCTGCCACCTGCGCTTACCTGAATGATTTGCGCTGTGTCCTGAGCTGTCGGCGGCTGATTTTAATGAAAACTGATCTTGGTGGCACTAGCGGCTTTTAGAGCATCTCCAGCCGCGTCCCCACAGGCCTTTCTCACACGTTTTTCTCACGCCGACGTCTAAAAGACGACCCAGTCGTGTTTTCAGAAACTCGTTCTTCGTCGGCTTGGGCTGAAATTGACGCCGGCGTACCCAGGCCGAACCAGGCGCACTGGGGGCGCCGGGGCGAGCGCTTTTCGCGCGAAAGAACCGCGGGCCAGCCACGCCAGCGAGACGACGCCTCGTCTTTCCTTTGAGCGCCTCGGTTTCCCGCGGGAATCAATGGCAAGGGTGTCGCCGGTCAGCCTTGCCATTGATTCCTCATGGGCGGCGTGTCACGGGCAGCGCGGCGACGCCTCCCCTCCCGCCACGTATACACACGGTGCGGGCTATAAAACCCCTCGCTCCCCCCTCGCCGCTGGCCACACCAGCCCGAGCCCAAACCAGCCACCGAGCTCCCTCGTCTCTGCTCTCCCCCGTCTTTGCTCTTTCCCGTCCATGCCGCCGAGCTCCCCCGTCCTCTCCTTCCCAAGCGATGGTTGAACGCTTCCCCGACGATGCCGCGGTGGCCAACGGCTTCAGCCGCCGCTCGCTCCAGGAGTGGGAGGCGTGGCTGCTTTTCAAGGCCAACATCCCGGCACCGCCGGACATGCGCGCCGGGTCGACGAGGTGGAGGCTCAGCAACGGCGGCGTCCCCATCCCCCCGTGCCCGGCGTCGACGCGCGCCCCAGCGTCTTCGCCGCCGAGGTCGACCGCGTGCGGTCGTCCCTCACGGAGGAGCAGCGCGCCCTCCCCAAGTGCGCCGCCGACAACCACGTGGCGTGGGCGGACTACTTCCAGCGGCGACAGGCGCAATGGCTGGCGTCCACGAACGGGGCGCCAGTGGTCGGCGGC